ACCCTGAACGCGCGGGACACCCTGAACGCGCGGGACGCCCTGAACGCGTGGGACGCCCTGAACGCCCTTAACATGCCGTACGCTCTCAAAGTGCCGAATGCTCTGAACGGTGTGTGAGCTCATGAACGCGGTTATGAGGAGCTGGATGTTCAGGAAGAACCCGTCCATCAGGACATGACGGATCATCTAAACCACGTGAACGCCAACAGAACCAGACCTCTGGACTCTCCAGTACTCACCGAGTACGGTGGCGCACAGCGCCGCCTTAATGAGGGGCAGCGAGGCGTCGTACGCTTCGTGCAGCAGGTGGACCTGCTGACTCTTCACCTGGTTCTTGGTCAGGATGTTCTGCAGGCTCTCCAGGATCCGGACCCATTTCTTCTTCTCTGCCTCGCTCTCTGCCAGAACCAGCAGGGACACGGAGGAGAGCTGCGAAATCAGCTGAGACGACGTCACCTGCAACATCATCGACCGTTAGGAGCTGGAAGGTGCGGCAGGAGCCGCGCCTGCTGCGTTTCCTACCTTGAAGATGCACGGGATGTCCTTCCTGGTGGCATGGATGACGTCGGACGCCAACACGGAGCTGACGGACAGATCTTCATCCCTGGAACAAAGCGGTTGATGAAACCAGGAACAGGTGAGGAAGGATCAACCTGCTGCCTCCAGGCGGCTTACCTGAGGTCCAGAACCAGACTGGCCGCCACGCCCGGCTGGGTGGACTTCCCCTCTGGAATGTCGTAGAGAAACAGTTTACAGTCGGAGGCCACGGCGAACGCTCGCTGCCAGCCCTTCTTCACGCCGCTGGGCTTGGGGATCTGCCAGAGGACAGTTTAGTGTGGAACCGTAGCGGATCATCCTGCTCCTGCAGCTAGCCGCCTTACCTTGACGTAACCCTTGTACGCCGTGCCGATGCCCCTCTGGACGTCGATGCCCTGCGGCCTCTTGGCCTGCTCCGCTGGGATCGGACAGATTAGGGGGGCGTGGTCTTTACAGGCGACATGGCATATGAAGGAGCAGACTGAAGGCAGAGAGACGGAGCATCAATCATCCTTCTCTAAAAACCACCCAGAGTTTGGATCAGAACCAGACGTACCTTCGCAGGCGTAGCCCTGGCGGCTCAGGCCCACCATCAGGGAGGTGCAGTGAGAGCAGAGGGTGGGGCTGGAGAAGGTTCTGATGCTCAGCTGGTGAGCTTTGGGCTGAAACACAGGAAACAGCTGCTTCAGCTTCATCACGCCTCTGATGGACCAGAACTTTATGGGTCCAAATCAGGCAAATCTAAAGCGGAGACACTTTGAATTCCAGGAAACGCGCTGGATGTTTTCTAAGGCGGAAGGCTCTAAAAGAGCCGCCATTGTTCACCGCCGGCCGGTTCCAGCCTGCAGCGCCGCTTCCCTCGCCTGCTTCTAACCGCCGGCCGGTTCCAGCCTGCAGCGCCGCTTCCCTCGCCTGCTTNGCCGGTTCCAGCCTGCAGCGCCGCTTCCCTCGCCTGCTTCTAACCGCCGGCCGGTTCCAGCCTGCAGCGCCGCTTCCCTCGCCTGCTTCTAACCGAAGACCAGCTGAGGTCTAAAGAGAACTCCACTAATCCACCTTAAACGGGCGGGTCCTGGCGGCGTACCTTGGGTGCAGGCGAGCTCTGGTAGGTGGGGGAGGGGCTGTCAGGGAGCGATGCTGCCTTCACTTCCTGTTGACAAAGAGCAGAGCAGTTAGCTAACGAAGCTTTCGCTGCGCACCGTGGAACTGTGGGCGGATTACCTCATTCTCAGAGACGGAGCACGGCGAGGAGGGCGCCGTGTCTGGCTTCAGGGGGGCGGAGTCTAAGTCTGCAGTCTGAGAACGACAGAAGGGGGGAGCTTTTAGGAGGACAGAGCAGATCCTGAATCTTCTGAGGAGGAACCACACAGGAACAAAGAGCTAAACATCCTAGTGTGGGAGGGGCTATGTGAGGGGGCGTGGCTTCATTAGTGAACAGCTACAGCCGAGGTTAAAGTGACTGGAGAAGGCGGGCTCGAACCCGCTGGGAAAAACTTACTTCTTCCCAAAGAGCGAGCAGCGAGGAGGCGGAGCTAAGCGCCGCCTCCAGGACGCCGAGGGGAGAAGCAGGCAGCTGCTGCTGATTGGTCAGCGCCGCGGCAGGAGGCTTACCTTAAAGCTGAGGTCTGGAGCCAGAGGAGACGTGTTGAAGTAATCAAAGATGGAGTCCTGGAAGTCCGGAAGCTTCAGACCTGCAGAGACTCAGAGTTCAACAGGGATCCATCCAGGAGGAGAACTTCTGAGGAGGCGCCCTCACCTTTAGCAGAACGGGAGCGACTCTCCTCCATCTCCCTCCTCAGACTCTCCACCTGCTCCACCGCCTCTCTCCTCTTCTCCTCAGACTCCTTCAGCTTACTGTAGACAGACGGGAAAAGCTGGATCAGGACCGACCCGTTACAACCGTCTCTGAAACCACGGCGACCCTGGGTGACCTCTGACCTCTCCAGGTTGATGTTGGCGGCCTTGAATCGGCGCAGCTCCTCCTGGACCATCTGCTTGGCTTTCAGTTCGGCGTCCAGAGCCGACTGCAGCTCCAGACGAGCCGACATGTCCAGCTTCTGGCTTCGACGCACCTTCCACAGGGGGTCCTGCAGGGGAGAGACAGAAGAACCGGTTTCTGCAGCTTCTATAATCACGGCTCTAGATACCTGATGGAGGAGATCAGCTGGAAGCTCCAGGAGTCCCGCCTAGAGCAGGGCCGCCTAGATCAGCGCCGCCTAGATCAGGGCCCCCTAGATCGGGCCCCGTCTAGATCGGCCCGCCTAGAGCAGGGCCGCCTAGATCAGCGCCGCCTAGATCAGGGCCCCCTAGAT